TGATGGGAATCTGAAAATTTTTTAACGGCTTTATCAATAATCACGGGAGAAAATCCACAGTCAATCGCAACTGCTCTCAAATAATTAAGTTTATTGGTAAGCAAGGATTCAGACTTTAAGCTTTCTTATTCAAACTTTAAGCGCACGGAATACATAATAGTAAAAAGAAGCCATTTTTTGCTTAACAGGGTGGCATGGGGTGGTAAACAAACTGCAAATGGTCTACGGTACACAGTAGTGCTAAAATCAGTTTCATTGCGGATTATAAGAATATCAAGGAAGGGGAGGGAATTGCTGGATTCAATTTCAAGAGTGAATTGGATAGCTGGATCAATTAAATTCATAATAGATAGAATCTCCGATAAATCCTCTTTATAACCGTTAAAAAGTGCAAAAGTGTCGTAACATACCGAATCCAAAGACGAAAAGATAGTTTATCAAATAATTTCATCTCAAAATAGTGCATATAAATGTCAGCAAGTACCGGACTGAGAGGATTACCCATAGCTAATCCTTCAACTTGACGAAAATATGCATTTTGGAAAACAAAGTGGGTTTGACTTAGAGAGACTTTAGTAAGCGAAACCAACTCATTAATTTCCGTATGTGTGAAGTGAAATTCCCGAAGCCTAGTTTCAAGACAATTTAGTGCTCCTTCGACCGGAACATTAGTAAACAGTGATTTGACATCAAATGAAACCATAATGGAACGAAGTGGAGAAATATTTTTAAGTTTATCAATGACTTCAACAGAATTTTTTTACAGTGTGAATATTGTTAGCAAGTAGAGGAGAAAATCTGGAAACTAAATATTTGGCCAAAGGATATGAACCAGTACCTATGTTGGAAACAATTGGTCGAAAAGGAATACCGGTTTTGTGAACTTTTGGAAGAGAATAAAGCCTAGCGCAATTAGTAATAGGTGGAATAAGTGATTTCTTCAACCGCATTGGCAGAATATGAGAAGATTTGATAGCACTTTTAACTTTCGTGAAGTCCGAAGTTGAAGGATCTTTAGGGATCGAGCAGTATGGGCCTTCATTTATCAGTTTAGACAGGGTTCATAGCCACATTTTAGTTAAAAAAATAAGCACCTATAAGCACTTTTCAAGCACATTTTAAGAAAAAAAATAAGCACCTGTCTAATTACATTATACACAATTGCATAACCTTAAAAATTAGACTTGTAATTTAAAATATGAGAAATGCAGTATTCATTAAGACAGAATAAGCATTACCTCAACCATGGAAAAAAATTACTTTTTTTTTTTTTTTTTTTTTAAATTTTAAATAACAGTTCAGTTTACAGAACTAGTTTACAATGAGAGGAAAAAAAACTATGCAGAACTAAACTATATTACAAGATTTAATGTTGAAATTTCAGTTCAAAATAGAGAAAGTAAATAATAATAAGGCATATTTATTGTATTCGCTTGGAACCTAATAATTAATACAATTTATTTTTCCACTCATATTGATATTTAAATAATTTAAATCTAAATTCTGAACATTTTCTAAATTTTTATTGTATATCAGTTTTCCCTTAACAGATATTGCAAGCAAAGTAATTTAAGTAAAAAAGAGGAATATTTCTGAGATCAGAAGACAGAAATTTGCTTCATGCAGTCATCCTTTAACAGTAAAAGCTTAACTAACCCGCATACTTGGAAATTGGCGAATATTCGGACAGTCGAGAATAACTTGAAAAAGAGGAGCGGAGAGGGGGGGTAGACTGTAGCCGCTCTTTAAATTTTCCCTTCCCGCTAAATAAATGCTTTTGACATTTCGATATGCGCATCATATAAAAACTAAACCAATGGAACTGAAAAATATTCTGCTTAGCAAGCACAGTAAAACTCTTTTAAGTGTTCATAAACAAATCCCGGACAGAACATCAAAATTAATTATCTCTGCAAACTATCACAAACGTTATTGTGCAATACGTGCGCCGTCATTCTTCCCTACGTGATATTACACAATTGGAATCAACAGCTACCGGTATTGGGAGAATAAAGAACTAAATAACTGGGGTGTTTTTCATTCTAATTTTCAACAGACGGCGTTGAATTTCCGGAATAGAATCATTCTTTGCTTGGGTTGGTAAGACCGCAGAACTTTTAGTCCTATTCAATCCAGATTGGAAAGTGACAAAAAAAAAAAAAAAAAAAAAAAAAAAAAGTAGTCTGTTGCTTGTTTTGCAGTGAACTGTAACAGTTTTAATACTCGAGATTTTGCGGAGAAAGGGGAGAACCTCCCAATCTTTGTACTGCATAATGTATTGGGGAAAAAAAAAAAATATTTTGACTACTCGATTACTTTCCCTTTATATAAGCCATTCCGAATATTATTCCTTACAAAGCTAATCTGTGTTAAAGCACAACCATTTTTGAAAGTTTACTATACTTCAGCAGTTACCGCAACTATGTTATTATAAACATTCATACATATACTCATAATATAAGTATAACGATCATAATAAACACGAATATGAACTGACCAAGCAGAACGAGAACGCAAATTATTAAGATCTTGATAGAAATTCAAACGTGTGTAGTATTTGGATGGGAGGAAAAAAATGCCGAATGTACCGGAATTTTATACTGCTTTCGCAATTCTTTGACCAATAGAACGACGGGCACCTGTCTGTACTCTTCGTGCACACCAAAAGTTATGTTAATGCAGAGAAAGGGGAAAAGCTATTTCCGGGAGTATGATTCACCATATGACATTCCATATTAGGAAGAAAAGTTGTTTATTTAGTTTCGGGTTTGGTACGGGGAAAAATAACGTGTTCATTAAGCACTTATAAGGGCCTTTATATTGTATTTTCAAATATAAGGACATATAAGCACTTATAAGGACCGCTACGAACCCTGTTAGAGACTCCAGTAATATATGTGTGTTTGTCCATAACAACGATCTGTCCGCCCTTATCAGCTTTAGAGATAATGATATTAGTATCAGAATGAATTTCCTGTAAGATCTCATTTTCCTTTTTGCTAAGATTCGAACCCAAAGATTTGTTGTTAATTAACATTATGAGTAATTAGGTGGCGGATTGTATCCTTCTGCATTTCCGAAATTTTGGATTTAAAGGCTTTCTCTATAGGGGCGATGACTTGAGAATTGAAGGTTTAGATGTCTTTGAAAAGTTGAAATTATATTTTAATACTTTTAACTGATCCTCTGAAAGATTCCTATTGGAGATATAAAAGTAGGCGGCCAGTGTAAGGACCACGTGTTTCTGAGACTCCTTCCCCTTTATTTTTCTTCTTTCCATGTATTTCTTTTCTCCTGATGAGGAGGGACCTTTAGCTGCCCTCGAAATCGATTGAGTGTTTCAATATACTTACGCTAAATACAAGGTTGTTTTTACGATTTTGGCGTTATTTTAGATCAATGATTCACATGGTCCCCACATATCACATATATCTATTCAAAATTTTGAGATACTAAATATACTCCCTTAATTGACTGAAACTCTATTTTCTCTTTAAAAAATAAAGTATTCATTTACAAGACCACATTGTGGGCCATTACATTACATATGCCTGTTCCATCTGAGGTTATGCCTGTAAAATGCATCAATGTAAATTACAGAAACTTCAAAGTATCTATCACATTACAAAAAATTTGTAAATGCAGATGGTTTATTAGAAAACTTGCTATTCATGATGAACTTGACATTGACCTTATCACTATTCACATAGCCAAACGATTTTACAGAAATATTATCAAGGTAGATAACATTTCCACACCTCTTACGGACTGTAACTTTATGGATCTTAATAACTGTAAATGTCCAGGTGCCATTTTAAGGCATATAATGTAAAAATTGTGTAATGCCCATTAGGTTGCTTTACTTCATTTATAAATTTAAAAATAACATAAAATCAGAACTTGGCATTAAAATCAATTTCAAAACCTATTCCCTTTTCCATATTATTTAATCACTCCCTCAAAAAGTGTGGTTTTCTGAAAAGCCAATTTCCTGAAGTTCTACATTGTATGCACTTCCTCTTTCAGCCAGTCTTGTTTTTTCTGATAATCACCTGACCTCTGAGGCATATTCCACACATGACTGCACTGCCTCTTCAGCCCAGACTTCATCCATTTGAGGTTCAACCACAGAGCCTGTCATAACACCTCTTCACTCTTTGGAACTAAACATCAACTATGCTATCAATTGCTCTGTTGTTTCAAACAGCTCCAGCCTCACAAATTTCCTCTCCCTGAAAAAGCCACCATAGACTTCTGATTGCTGTCTTAGGAGCTTAGGCCTGGTAGAAGATGAGTGATGCTATTTCTAGGACTGATTTATCTAGGATTTTTTCATCTCTGGATTAAAAAGATATGCCAGTGTTTTGTCCCTACATAAAAGTGCTTGTGTCTGCATGCATGCATAGGAAGTTATTTAAGATGCATCCAATAGAGCATTAAGATACGACCATCTTTTTCTTCTCTCCACTGGGTGTCAAATCTCAATGTAGCAAGTTTGCATGCCCTTTATGATAATCTTGACCTTCCCCATTCTTTTGTATTGCGATGTGATTGCAACACTTAGTCGCATGAAATTCACGAATTCTTTGCCTGAATGAATTAAAACACCTGTTGAAGACTTGTGTCTGCAGTTGTAATTCAAGGCTTCCTACTGTATGGTTTGCATTCAGATTGGCTTCTTCTTTATCCACCTGCACACCACCCTGTTAAGTAATTTATTATTCCTAAACTACTTGTAGCATTCTGTGGATTTTGGGCAGAATGCGGAATTCTTTTGTCATGAACTTAATGATGACATGTAGTTAGTAATTTGCATGCATAATTTATTTGAAATAAAGCAATGATGGTGACAAATTTATATACTCGTACAATTACTTTCCCATAATTAAATCTGATGATCTATGTCAATTAATATATGATAAAAAGTAAAAGGAATCAAGCATTTAACACATGAAACAAGAAAAGATAACTGCATAATAATATGAATAAGTTTCACAAACCTTATAATAAATAGAAAGGTCACCCAGATATTTTGTACACTGGCCCACAAATTCCTTCATATGTTCTTTATTTTCAGGCTAAAATGAACAAGATGCAAGGCCATCAGCAAAATTAAACATAACAAATACACATTTGAAAACATGACATAAGAAAAACTCTGATACTTTTCAGTTAACAAAGTGCATTGTGGCACCAGATGCAAATGCTAGAACAAAATCTAGAGATAGGAATGGTAGTTATAATGATATACAGAGCAGCATCATAAAAGAATGGTGTTTTAACTCAACCCAAAATAAATACCAATAATAAAGACAAATTAAAAAATTTATAAATAAGAATACTCGTAATTATTTCAAATGACAGTTGAAGCTGACAGAATTCTATTAACTCGACCTTTTTCACATCAGAAGTAAATAAAACAAATGACTATCAGAAAAGGTATATGCGAATCCAGCATTTATTCTGTAAATTTTACTTTTCGGGACACAGTATTCATTGCAGCATGTATTTGCCATTCCAGTGATAGTAAAATGAAATTTCATCTTGTAATTTTCCAAGCAGTTTTGTGTAAATATGGATGATACCTTTGTCTTCAAAGATTTTAAATGTGACTCTGTCATTCACAATTGCAAAATTGTGAATGATTAGTAATAATAATATCTGGGGGGGGTAGAATTTAAAACAAAAAAAGCAAATGGAAATATTGAAGAGAAAATTACTGAATTGATCATCATCCTTCCACTTCTTTATAATAACATCACTGTACAGATCATTATTGTGAGGTAAAATAAACAATTTAACACATTTTCAGCTTTGACACACAATTAAGACTGCTGCTCCATTAACTGGAAAGTACCAGAAATTTTGCTATTTTTCTTTTCTGACAAATGGCTTAGAAATAGAAAATTTAGTAGGCACATTACTGACCTAATTGATAAAAAAATGATAATTTTAAAATGAACATAATTCAAGCACAGTTTTTTTTTTTTTTTTTTTTTTTTTGAAAATTCCATAAAACCAATCAAACAGTTTGAGAGAGATTAGCAAAGGCCCGTCTTCTACAATGCTGAAAAACATTATGTTAATTTTTTTATAAAACCAACATTAATTTAAGCTCAATTTTGCCTAATTTAAAATTTCACATTATTAGTTAATGCTAATTTTTTACTTAATACAAAAAAGCAATATAACTTATGGCATTAAAGTTTTGTCTGACATTTATCGAAATGTAGGTCTGAGCATTGTTATGCTGGAAGACAACACTTCAAAGATAGGTCAGGTCTAAGCATTTTGCTTGACTTTAAAATTGGCATTTGTTAACAGTACTTTTTTAAAGTTTATTGTCTGATTAGGTGGCAACCAATTCATAATACAGAATTCCTTTTTAATCTCACCATTACACAAAAGCATTACTTTTATTTGGATGCAGTCCCGTCTCAATGTTACTAAGGTTATTTTAGTTTAACCCTTTGTAGCATCTAAAAATTTCCTTCTGTATGCACAAAAACACTGAATGAAAAAGGATTTATAGATTACTTTGAACCTTCATTATTTATAGCAGATGGCAGCCGAACACAAAGCAGTCCATATATTTTAGCCATGTTTAGTTTTTAAAGACCCTCATTTTTCAAAGAAATCTTCCAGATTTTTTTTATGATATAAAAGAAACTATTTGAAAAGAAATTTCTAAGTTATTTTCTTGTCTGTACGCTTATCTCCTTATTCTATGTTAGTTTTAAATTTTTACCTTGAAATCATGCCTAAAATTGAACGGCGAAAACATCAGGTGTTCCCAGAGTGGGCTCACTGAGAGGTAACTGTATCTTTGTTTCTTTGCAGCTCATCGGTCAGTTCATTCACAGTAGAAAGATGGACGCAAATCTGTGTTTCATTTCCTGTTTTTCACTTTCTTCTTCTCTCTCTCTCTCTCTTTCTCTTTGGTTATCAATTAAGAAATTGTTGGGGTAATTTTATCAGTTAGCTGTTTGGTTTTTCACTAGAGCAGTTAGTTTTCTTTCTCTTTTTCACTTTCGTTCAGGACGTTTTATTAGTTCTACGTTTAATATTTTTGAGTAGTAGATGTTTATTTAATTTTATTTTATAGATTATAATTTCAAAGTGCAGATATAATATTAATTTATTTTTTTGGATTTTTAATTATTTTTTAAATGGATCAGAGAGAGCTGGTGATACCTGAAGCACTGAAAGTGCTACGCGAATTGCTTTCAGATAGTGAATCTGATACGAATCCCGATACATATGCAAAACATGCAATATTGGGTCGTGCTCTTTTAAAGGTGGTGTCACTTTCTTTTAAAAGTACCACCATGAAAAAAATAGACGAAAGTGTAAATATGAAATGTAAACAATGTAAATATCATATACCCAAGTTACTTTTTTTCCATTTATATGCCTGTAATCATCATATAACCAAGAACAGCTTTTTTAGGAAGTGTAGAGTAGCAAGCCTCCCCATGGCACACCCTGGGTAATGCTAAATTTGCTACAGTATTCAGAATCTAATGTTTTTTAATCATAGGCAAAATCTCTTACTCTTTTACTTCTTTATGCGCCTCCCTATAATGCTCGTTTCAGCACTTTTTTCCGAAGCTCTATTCATTCAGCGTGTGCGCTTCGGGCACACCCACAGAATTAAATTTACATGCTATCTTCACAAAATTTTACCTGCATACTCCTTTAGGCCTGATTAAACGGCCTACCTTTTTTTTTTTGTTGAAATTCCAAATTAAAAAAATAGTGTGCTGGAAAGGGTTAACCCTAGAATCTTTTCCTTATAACATCCTTTTAAAAAATCCACTTCTCATTTCCAACAATGTGCCATTTAAAAAAAGGAGCACCTCTATTTTTTTTTTTTTTTTCCAGTAAAGAATCACATAACAAAACTCGAGCAAACATATTCTGCTCTGTTAAATGGGATACTCATACATCATAGCAGTTTAGATACCCTGTTTTCTTTAAATGATCATGTTTTTTTACTTTTAGAATACTTTTTAGAATATTTATTCTGTGTGATAATTCCTAAACTGTATAACTTAAATTTTCAGAAATAGTGTCTTTTAATAGGTCCTTGTTTGTAATGGATGGTTGCCTAAAGTGGGCATTATCTTTGAGGTTGAAATTTGCATGCTTAAACCTCTCAAATTACTTTCGAACCATGGAATCAGAAACAATTTTTTCTGTATTTAATAAGTTACTTTAGCTTGAGCAGCCTGACTAGCTACCCCTTGTTCTAAAATAAAAGAGCATAATATGATGGACATGAACTGACACCAGTTGTTACATTATTTTCTTCCTTCACATTCGTACGGGGTTCGTAGATTTGGAGTAAATAACAACACTTGATGTAGTATCGAAACACACTTTATTTAGACAATACTGTCAGGACAGCTCCAAAACATGTTTTACAGTCGTCGATGAACTACCATAAACACGCTGACACGATCAGCCACACAGCCTTTAGGTTATCAGGCTATCACGGTGGAGACAGCTTCCTGCAAAGCAGCCGACTCTGCTTTCCAGAGTACAGCTCCCGACTCTGATTGGTCGTTCTCGGAACTCCACGTACTCTCGAGACTCTCCACGCTACAACTCGTGATGCACTCGACGACACACGAGCACAGCTCCCGACTCTTCAGTTCAGTCGTTCCCGGAGCTCAACACGCTCTCTTGACGATGCACTAACTGTGCTACACTAACAGACTCCTTCGGTGCACTCGATGACCCACTCGGCTGTCAACTCGATCGACTCTGCAGGAATCAATTTGCTAGATGAGACACCAACTCGATACTGACTCTCTCGCACTCTATGCGAGGCACACACGCCCTCTCAACGAGGCACACTCTCGATACTAACTACCTCGCACTCTAGACGAGGCGCACACACTAACTGACTGCGGACTAGCAGGGTTTATATAGCTTTTGGCTTGTGTTCAGGAACATTCTAGGCTAAACCGGTAAGAATTCGTTCCAGAAGGTTCTCCAACCATCCATGGTATATCGCCAATTTGTCGCCGAATGAGCAATTTCTCGCCAAAGGTGGCAAACCTGCCTTCCCTTGCCATTTTGTGGCAACCCAAAAACCACTTTGCGGGGAAGCCATCTCACCACACCTTTACATATCGTGACACATTTAATTGCTTTTTGATTATAAGAGATTTAAGATTTAACTGTATATACATAATTAGCTTTGTTAACTGTTAAAACAAAATAAACAGATATAATACAATTAAAATAACAAAATGCTTAATGCAGAATAGCAAAAAATGACCTGCATAATTTGAAATTATACAAAGAAAGTCTGAAAAATACCTTTCTAATATAAGATGAAATTGCATGATACATAATAACAACTGCATCTAATACTCCAGCTACCATATTTTGATCATCGAAAATTCTCAGTTCTTCATACAATCTAATGGCTTTATTTATGCTTGATCTCCGACTTGACAATGTACAAATGTTTTTTGCTGAAATCTTGGCTTTAATAAAGGTATGAATAGTTTTCAAACACTGACTCATAAATCTCACTGAAATGGGGAAGGGAAAAAAAAAGTCATGAGAAACTTAACAGATATAGTGAAAGTGAAAGTAAATTAGACTAGAAAACTAAATTAAGTACTTATGTAATTGCTACCAAGCATCAGATTTAGTGCCAATAATGGATATGTGTGACATAACAACAGACTTATATAACATACGAGTTTTTGTTTGATGCAGCCCTTAATGGTTCTTGATATGTCACCTTTTGCTTCTGTGTACAAGATTATGAATTAACTGTATTGTTGTACAGTTATATACAGTATTGTTGTATTTTTTCCTTTACATTAAAAAAAGGGGGGGGGGGGGGGTAAGAATAAAATTGACTTTTTTCAGAGCATCAAGCAGTGGATTATTTTAAAGTTATGGGATTCTACCATAAAAAAGAGTACATATTGATGGACATGATATGATCAGATGAATATGACTAACAAAGCAGTATTTGATTGGAACAATTACATGTGGGAAATTTGTACTCACACGCTCAAGACACAGCTTCTGGTAAGATCAAAAGGCCCAACAAAATAGTAGGAATCACCTAAATCCTTTATAAAAAGTGCAAAAATAATGCAGATTGAATTCCGATTTTCAGTAAGTGCAAATGCGTCAGTTTCTTTAGAATTTAGCATACATGATTAGCGCACCTTTGGCATGATCTCCAACTTTCATGGTCAGCATGATAAATATGTAAGTAACCTAAATGATTTCAAAACAGGGAATTTTCCTTCTTTTCTTACTCATAAAATAAATAAATGTAGATAGGAAATGGATGAAAAAAGTCACAAGTTTAATTTCTTCAAATATTAGGTATTAACTCCCAAGTACGTAATTTTATGCAAATAGTTTCAAAACTGTAAAGGATTCTATTGGGGGGGGGAATTAATTTTTTACATGGTTTCCACACAGTTAAAATTCTAGCTCACAAAATATTATCTGTTCTTTAAATCTCTGAGTGATACAGGTTTTTGGATCTGTCATGAAGACCTGTACTTAAACAGCATTTATTACCTAAATATGTAAAACTACTACTTTAATCTCTGTTTTCATAAATTTACATTCATCAAGATGACATTTATATTATTAAAGAAAGTAAGAAATCAAAATATCTTAAATTATATGCTGATATATTTACAAAGAAAGAATATATATATATATATATATATATATATATATATAATCTCATGACTGAATAAAGCCAGACATGACACTCAGAGAATTAATTAGTCAAAGAGCTTATTTTACAAGGAGACAGATGATAATATATTCATGTAAAATTTGCTGATATGTTAAAGACTTAACCAAAAATAAAAGAGAACAAATACATATCTAATCTTGAATGCTGCTTTATATAAGGCTTTATATAAGGAAAAACTATTTTCTTCAAAATAGGTGTTTTTTGTCGAGTATCTGCTTCTTAATTTATTACCAAATATCATTATGAGTATCAAAATTGCAATAACAACCTTGTATTTAGCGTACATATATTAAAACACTCAATCGATTTCAAGGGCAGCTAAAGGTCTCTCCTCATCAGGAGCACAAAATTACTAGAAAGGGAAAAAAAGAAGAAAAATAAAGCATCGGCAAAGAATTCTCAGAAACACGTGGTTGTTATCAGCACTGCACGTGGTCGTAACCGGATTTTGAATCAGAGTTACACTGGCCGCCTACTTTTACTGAGCCAGGCTATCTGATCAAACATATAACAAATGTTTATGTGTTGTTATTGCGATTTTGATTGTCACACTGGTGTGTTTCTCTTCTATTCTATCATTATGAGTTTTACAAACAATGGTATGTAATGTTTTTAGTTTTAATTAATTAAAGCAAAATTAAGACTTCATTATTTGAAACTTTCAGACTGTACTATTAAAAGAAATGAGGGGGAAAAGGAGTATTCCCCCCTCAACTCTTCAATCAATGCACTTATTGTGTTATAACTCTCTCCATAAAATTCTGTATCTTATTTTAAGACATTCTGCAACTGGAAATCTATATCTAGGATCAGTGTCTAAAGAAATAAAGCTCCAAGTCACTTGGGGTAGACCTTATAACACATAAAAATGCACAGTAAACCTAGCGGAATTTTTTATTTTAGCCCATAAGATTACTATTAAGAGAAAAATGTCATTACACTAAAAATATATTACAATATTCTCATTCAGTTTTATTACTCTATAAAGAACTTAAGTATTATCTCGTCTGTCAAAGATGGTGGAGATCTTGAAAAAGTTGAGGCAATCATTCTTGCAGAATTCTGAAGGAACTCATCTTCCTTTATTTAATAAACAAACATTATTCAACCCGCTTCATTTTTGTGCTGCATAAAAAGGCTTTTGTTGATTTCTACTATTTTGTTATGCCATACAATTTTATTGGGAGCTTTATTTAGAATGCTATGAGTGCAAAATTTCTGCAGGTAACTGTTCCAATCTATTACTGTTTTGGTGACCATATCTTGTCCATTAATACTTTTGCGATGGCATGATCCCATAACTTTAAAAATAATCTATTGCAGGGATGGGCAAACTCCGGCCTGCAGATAGAATTCTAATTTGCTGGTCCGAGCAAATTAAAAGAAATATATATTTATATATTATATATACATCTCCTTTTCTGTTTTGTTTAAATATTATTTTTTCTTTCTTTTTTCAAAGAAATAGTGATCTTTTTACTTTCTCTATTTTTGTCTTTTATTTGTAAAACGTAAATCGACGGAAATAGCAAGCACAGATAGCTTTCAATTGGTAAAGTGTTAAAAGCAAAAATTCTTCATTAGTTATAGCTGTATATTGGCGCCAACAAGCATTATCTCTTTCTCGGGGAGCAGACATATGGGAATCCAATATAAGTGAATTAGATTTTAAGCTCCAGCCAGCAGCTTTTTCTTTTGACATGAGTTCTAATATTATTGATTGCGTAAAGATTGTGGACATATAGTACCATTGTGAATAGTGATGAAATTATTAAACGTATAGCGTAGCTAGTGCTTGTTTGACTTATTCGTAAAATATTTCAACCTAAAAATGGCTACTAAAAAACGTAAACTTGATTCAGAGTGTCGTGCTTTTAATGATGAATGGACCTGGAAATATTTTTTACAGTTGTAAAAGATAAATCAATGTGTCTCATCTGCAATGAAGCTGTAGCAGTCTTTAAAGAACATTTCTCATCATTTCACATCTAAGCATAAGAATTCGAGTTACGACGCAATTTCTGAATATGAAAGAAAACAAAACGCAGAAAGTCTTTGAAAAAAATTATCAGGCCGTCAATTTTTTTCGAGAAGGTAAACAGTATCCAAGAAGCAGCTACACATGCAAGTTACATTGTAGCATACAACATTGCTAAAAATAATAAAGCTCTCAGTGATGGGGAGTTCGTTAAACAATTCATGCTCCAAGTTTGTGATGTTTTATGTCCAGACAAGAAAAATAATTTTGAGACTGTAAGCTTATCTCGAAAAACGGTGACTTCTAGAATGGAAGCCATCGATAAAAATTTGGCATCACAATTAAAGTCAAAGATTGGCCAGTTTAAATTTTGTTCCATAGCTATGGATGAAAGCACTGATATAAATGATACTGCTCAATTAGTATTATTAATAAGAGGTGTTGATGAGAACATTGAAATTACCGAGGAACTGGCGTGTGCATGTTTTTTTAAAGGGAACTACAACGGAATGTGATATTTTTTGTGAATTTCTGGAAGGGCTTTTAACTTTGAAAGTGCATATAACAAATATATGTAATATTACTGGAAATGGAGCACCAAATATGACAGAAAAAAAAATTTGAATTTCTAGGACTCATTAATCAAAATTATCCTGGGAACAATGTTGTTTTTCTACATTGTGTTATACATCAAGATGCAATGTGTAAATGTACAATTGAATATGAAACCCGTACTTGATGCAGTCGTGAAGCTTGTAAATACTATTCGATCTTGTGGGCTTACTCACAGGCAATTTTGAGATTTTCTTCAGTCCATAAAATCTGAATACTCTGATCTACTGTATTACACGAAAGTAAGGTGGCTTAGTGCAGGATGTGTTTTCGAGCGAGTTTGGAAGCTAAAAGACGACATAGTGTCATTCTTCCATGAGAAACAGAGTTCTGCGGAGTGTGAAATGTTAGAAGATACAAAATGGCTTTCAGACATCGCATTTTTCACAGATCTTCTTTGTCATATAAGCAACTTAAATGTCAAGATGCAAGGGAAAAATCAATTTATCGATGATATCTGGGCCCATCTCAAAGCTTTTAAACTAAAACTTAATCTGTTTTCTGGGCTAGGACTACTTGTCTCATTTCCCAAGGTTAAATTCAATACCAATAAATGAAGAGAAGCTTAAGAATTATGAAGACTGCTTGAAAAAACTGCATTTTGAGTTTGAAAGCGGATTTTAAGGTTTTAGTGCCATTCAAACAGAATTGGATATTTTCATCATGGCTTTCAACGTAAATTGTGAAGCAGTGAGGTCAGATTTGCAGCTTGAATTAATTGAGTTGCAATCTAACAGTCATCTCAAGCAGTTGTTTCTAAGTATGCCAAAGTTAAGGTATGCCAAATTTAATATCTCACGCCCAGAATCAGTGCTATGTTTGCTTCATCTTATATAAGTGAACAAGTGTTTTCAACTATGAATTTTAGAAAGAATTATTTCAGAAGTAGAGTGACAGATGAGCATTTAGCCTCGTTGCTTAAAATCAGTATTCACTTAACCTCTATATAAGGAATTTTTAAACATGAAAATGCAATTTTATTCATCTCATTAACATATTTTAATTGTAATACTTGTATATTATTTTTAAATTTTTAGAAAAATTTATCTTGGCCTGCCAAACCATTTTTTTTTTGGGGGGGGGGGGGAATTTTTGGCCCGTGACTGAAAAAGTTTGCCCATCCCTGTTCTATTGCTTGCTATTTTGTAGAATGCAGTTCCCATTGAATCACATTTTTTAAAATAAAAGGAAAACTTGCAGTAGTAGCACTTAATTTTTGCATTTGTTCTTGTTCATATAAAAATAAAAGGTGGCTTATCAAGAATCAATTGGTGTTACATCAAATGAAGGCAAAGCTGTTACAAGTATGCTGTAATGTCACACTTATCCATAAATTGTCTTGCTTGGTGAGAGTTGCAGGATTATACATAAGTACTCTTAATAATCATAATTTAATTATGACACAAAAAATGAACCAAACTAGAGATATTTTTTAAAAATTTATGAATGTTATTTTTCAAACTGTGTATGTTCCAGCACTGTGATCAGCCATTGTTTTGTAGAACATGAATTCCGTAAAATTCTGGGCCCCATAAGTGAGTGTATGGTTTACTGAATAGTGGGAATTAAAACCAGCTTTGATGTCATTTAGATACCCTTTTCGAAAAAATAATATTAATTAATACTTTTTACAATAGCCTATATAGCAATGCTCTTCATTTATCTATTAACTTAAGTTTTAATTATGCACAAATGCAAACATTTTGGTCTTCAGTTTGTTCATGGCCCCTCAACATGATCTGAAACTTCAGACAAATGTTTGTCACATGGTAATCAAATATTTTGCATTTTATTACTTTAGAATGAGTGCAAAGTTTTTCTAAATGCACAACAACAGCGTTGACCAGAGTTCATGTCAGTAAGAGCAACATGCGAGGAAAGTTAGCGAGCAGCAACTAGATTTTCCAAACCCACAAAGTCTAAATTTATATCATTTTATAAGTACTGAACCATGTTTCAAATTGAAAGAAACATCTGATTCTAAACAATCATTCAATGACAGTTCAGTTGACTTTTGGACATTATGTAGCTTTATATTATCATATTTCATATATATTTTTTATTCGCATAAGAATCACACCAGTTGCCTGCAAGTGCCATGCTATAGCTATGACTGCCTAGATATTATCAGAATAAATGAAAGTTAATGGGACAAAATGCAAAGTAAGTAATTCTAGAAATTCTGCTATTAAATGATCTGTAAATTCTAAAATTAATAAGTTATTTTCGACTGTATTAAAAAAAGCTTGCCACTCAGAGGATTAAATCGTCTTGTACACCGAGTGGTGGAAGGCATAGCTGCCAACCTTGAAATATGAAAAATCGTGAAGTTTTTACAGGAAAACTGGGCGATTTTTATGCTGACCAGCAACATCATTGAGAAACAGGACCAAAGACTTAAATTTGACAAACCATTTAATTACTTTAAAAATTCCTACCAAAAGAACTCCAAAATATACCATCAACAATTTACTTAGTATACTACAGAAAAGGAAGTAATCGAATTAATTGCTACAAACTTTCAAATTAGAAGTTCAGATATCAAACCTTCCTTTAAACTGAATGACAAATCAAGCCATCGTAAATGGATAATAGACTGTACTCCGTTGGCATTTCAAATCTTTATGATTCAAGGCACCTTTTACGGTGGATGGAGAAAACACAAAATAACAGAATGTTTCGGAGTTAGAAGATGTTACAAATGTCAAGACTTCAAAATTCCTCCAAAAAACTGCAAATACAGGAATTACTGTGCTTTTTGCAGAGGAGACCATAACATTACAGAATGCAACGCCAACAAACCCAGGAGTATGAATTGTAAACTATCAAACACTGGCATAGAAAAAACTTTGCAGTTTTAAAAAAGTATAGCATAAAATAAGGTGGTAAAAATATAAAGCACTGAGAAATCATCACAGATATGTGTTTTTAGATTTTAAAAGTTTTAAATGCATGTCTGCATAATGATTTGTGAAGAGAAGAAGAAATGAGGAATATTTTAACTTCTATATTTCCTATTTTTTAATTAATAATAAATTTTTATTGAAAGAGCCATACAGAGACATAAGCATTCAAAATTTGAAATTGAATACATATTAATACTGTTTACTGCTTAAATGGCTTTAACAAAAGTTGAGATGTCACTTTTTCTAAACATAGGTTTATTCCTTCTCTTTTTTATTTTATTGTTTGGGCTTTTAATATGTTTGATTACTTTATAGATGCATCTTGTATTTAGAACTAAAACTACACACACAAACTGTCACCTCAACTGTTTTTTAAAAAGAGTAGGGAACTATTTTCCCGTCATATGATATGTCCAGGATGATTAAAAAAATTAAAGAATTCAAATATTTATTTAATGCATAAAGTTATTTTCATGTCAAATGAAATATAAGAAACATGTTATTAAATTACCTGTTGACTTTATGCCAATATCAGAAGGTACATATTGAAAGAGAATTCTAGAAGCACCTCTATCTGTTTTAATCAACTCTAAGCATCTAGCTATCCAAATATGGGCCATTTCTTGTTGTGGAAAATAACTATTATGAATTAAAGTCACAATCAATTTATTAATTGCAGTATCTTCTTCTAAGCGAGCCAAAAGATGATCCAAAGGAACAATATCAAAATACTAAAAAAATGAAAACAGGAAAGTTATAAGTTATATATTTATTAATTTGAATACTTATACATAATATTGAATTTAAAGGTAGTGATGAAAAAAATACTACATATAAAATTGAGCGAAGTTACACCAACAATGCCAACTTATCAAACTCAAAAATCAGGAAAATTTTACTACTACACCCACCAAAAAAAATCTTTTAATTTTTTTACAGAAAATAATAAGAAAATATTTTAAAACAATGAACTGACTTTAATTGCTATCTGATTAATATCTGAAAGTTCAGATACTATTTTATGGATGAAAGTCCTATGAAAAATACTCACATAGGAAAAACACTTTTATTTTTCATATTTTTAATACAAAAATAATACTTTAGTTAGTCTTCATTTAAATGTTAACAATAGTGGTAGATTGTAGTAGATGGTACCATCAGTTTGAAAATACCAGCTGCCTTTGCAAAGGGAAGAATACAGGACGACCAAGGGTTAGTGAAGAGAGTTTTGAGCGAGTGAAAGTCTTTCACACGTAGCCCGAAGAAATAAATTTGGAAGGCTAGTCGTGAATTAGCTGTTCCGATGATGACTGTTAGGAAAGTTTTACAGAAACGCTTACAACTACATTCTTATCATTTTCAGTTAGTACAGGCTCTAAAGCCTACAGACCATGGTTTACTAGCCAACTTTGCACAACGATTTTTCTGGATCATGTTGTTTTCAGTGATGAATCGACATTTCACTTGAGTGGGCATGTGAACACTCTTAATGTGCACATCTGGAGCTCGGAAAATCCTCACAAGATGGTATGATTGCAGCGAGACTCCCCTAAATTGAATGTTTTTTGTTCTGTATCTTGGCAGAAAGTTTATGGGCCTTTTTTCTTTGGAGAAGCAACTGTAACTGGTACTTCCTATCTTGATGCTCTAAAACTATGGCCATTTCCCCAACTGGTAGAAGACAAACCAAATAACTTCATTTGGCAGCAAGATGGTGCACTGTCTCACTGGCGTAACGACGTATTCGAGTGATTGAACATCACTGTGCCCAACTGCTGGATTGGCTGCAAAGGGTCCAATGATAGAGCTTGTTTCACATGTCCTCCACGCTCATCCGATCTGATGCCATGTGATTTTTACTTGTGGGGGTTCATAAAGGATCATGTGTATGTGCCTCCATTACAGCTGATCTGCCCGACCTAAGAAACAGGATTGAGGTAGCTGTTGCAACATTTACACCACAAATATTAATCAACGTTTAGGAAGAACTGGGCTATGGACTTGATGAGTGCCATGTGATGAAAGGTGCTCACACTGAACACTTGTAAGCTTGTAGGTATAACTGTTTGAATTGCACTTTCATTTCATGTATTAATTATAATTCTAAGTTTTACATAATAAATACTACAAAACGTTAAAACCCTGATATTTAGCAACATTCTGTATATTGTTTGGTTACACAGTTGTATTATTCAGATCCTGTAACTGCCAAGTTGAGAATTTCCACTAATAGTCAACTGAAATTTTTCATTCTCAGAAACATCTTTGTCACTTCCTCACTATCAACAGGCAATATTTTCTGGATTTAAAACCATTCTACAGTTATCACCATTGGTTATTTGAATGATCATTGCGGAATTGCCATTGCAGTGGCTAACCTCAGATATATCATCTTCATACATCACTGTGCCCATTTCTTCATAAATTCCATTAATTGGAAAATTTTGCCTTTTTCTTGTGATAGTTGAAAAACTTTCTATTTGTGGCTATCATCATTAATGATTCAACTTGTATCATCATTAATGATGATAGCCACAAATTTCAGCATACATTTCAGCCATTATCTAATGCTGAACGATGGATGTAAAATATGGAGGAAAGAGTAAGACAGGAGACTTTAACTAGAATTTTAAATGAAGTACAAGCCAAACACAGTTGTCTCAAGAAAAGGTTCTTCTGTTATCGGGACCAGATTAAGAAATGTATGTATGTGCATATATGTGTACACATGCATACAAACATGTACATTATGGAAAAAAAAAGAGGGGGACAGATCTACATCTCTCGTTTTACTGCGCCAATTGGCAAAATTTAAATTGCGTTTTTCATGTCACTTGGCGAACTTCTTAATATATGGCAACCTATTTTCCTTTTCATCCCATTGTGCAGGACTGGAAAAAAGGTCACATCGTTCCTCCTTTCAAACAATTTTAACGAAGTGCCTAAACCACATCTGATATTATTATTGCTTTCAACAAATATGCCAAATTCCAAATTGCACCAATAAAAAAATTCACATATATCTTTAGAAAATTTGAATAAAAAAACTGTAATTTTTTGCTGGTATGCTTATAAAAAATGGGCGAATTTTATTTGGAATGAACCTAGATTTTGAAATGCAAAAGGAGGAATCAAATAAATTTAATAAAAAAGAGATATTAATAAATATATATTAAACTCAATTAACACTGAGGAGGTAAAATTGTGAGAGCTAATTTTTTAAAAACTACTCGTGCGATTTTTACAAAAGTTGGTAGTTTGGCGTAATTTGAGTCGTAGAATTGAAATATGAAAAAAAATTGGTATGTTATTTCAGAAAAAGTCCGATTTTGTGTCAAAATACCTATATTAGAACAATGATATATATAAATCTAATACATATCCCAAGTCGTGCTTTCGAGACATTGAAAAATGCAAGTTGAATTTCGTCAATCGGCTCAGTAGAACGGGAGATATAGAACTGTCCCCCCTTTTTTTGCGCAGCGTACAGATATATGTGTGTGTGTGCGTGTAAAACTTACAGTAAGTACCTTATATATATAAATATATACATATGTGTACACACACACTGTATCTTTAACGGGAAAGCATCAAATAAATTAATAACTTTAATTTGTAATAACCCCTTAGCTTTCCTTTTTTATTTGATTATTTCCTTGTTCATTCTAAAAACAAAAACTAAACCGGGGGGGGGGGACTACCAAGTTTTGTAAAAATCGCAGTAGTAGTTTTTAAAAAATTAGCTCTTTAGTGTTAATTGTATTTGGTATATATTTATTAATATTTCATTTTTTACTAAACCTTTTTTATTCTTCCTTTCACACTTCGAAATTTAAGTTCATTCCAAATAAAATTCACCTATTTTTCTGATTTATTTTTTAAATTTGTATTTTTAAATAATTTTTATAAATTTTTTGAAAAAAATTTTGAGTTACAATCTATAAAAATTTTTTACAATCATCTTTCTAAGCACCCAAGCAAAAAATTAGTTTTTTTATTCAAAATTTTCTAAGATATACACAAATTTACACGGTTTGAAATTTGGCATCTTTTTTTGAGTGATAATAACGCGAAATGTGGTTTATGGATTTTGTTACAGTAAATTGCCACAGCTATTTTTAACTTTAAATTTCAAATAAATTTTTATGGAGAATTAATTACATGAAAATTTTTCTCTCAATGATGTATAATAAATATTTATTAATACTATATGGAAAAGCTATTTTTTTAAAATTATAGTTGATATTATTCAATTTTTAACTATTTTTTTAAATTCCTCTCTTTCTTCCTTTAAAAAAAAAAAAAAAAATATTTGTAAGAGTAAATTTTTATGTTCGGCGTTTTACCGTCTGCTACTTTACTTAACTTTATTTTAATTTAATTGTCTAAAACTGAGAAACACTCGTTTGATGTTTATTTTTGCAATGTTTTTAAGCAAACAAGACATTGACACTTTGGGTCATGTCCCAACTTTAAAATATATATATATATATATACATAAATTTTTACATTAATCCTCTTAGAAAGAATGTTTTAAGTAGTAATTTTTTCTTGTGTTGTAGATTATATAAAAAACATCTTTAATATAGAAATTTTTAGGCTTAAAAACTCTAAATAATACGAATAAGATATTTTGCACCCGATATAAGAATTGGGTCACTGGGTGGTACAGGATAAGCACTGCTGGAGTGGTTTATTTCTTTCTCATTTAACAAAAATCTTTTAATTCAAATATTTATCCTTTGGACTTTACTTTAAACTTTAGTTAAAATGTCTAGGAGCTGTCTTCAGCTAAAATGCATTTAATGCAACTGATATTTTAAAAAATTTGACAAGAATGCAAAATTTATGGAAGTGTAAAAATTGAAAAATCTTAATTTTCTTGTGTCAGCACTGAAAACATATATAGAAGGAAAGAAGGAAATTAGGGGGGAAAAGCAAAAATTAAAAGGGGAATCTACTTCACGGAAGTTGGGTATTCAAAGAGAAAACATTAAACGTGTACACCAGCAAATAGCAGCAATTGAGTTTGTGTTAACGGAAAAGACAAAAACGATATTACAGCATATCAAAATGAAGAGTGACTAGTTTTCGACTATATGGTTGTATAAATTTAAAATTATGTCATAGAACATCATATTGTATCATAAATAGAGCACCGCATATTTTCTCAGTCGAATTATTTGAAGATTCAGGAATTCATCCGTGACGTATATGGATGCCATCTAAAGACGTTTTCTCTTTCGATGAAACCAGTCTTTCCTTTCATCTCATGCCGTCAAAATGCCAACCTCTAAAGACTGATAAAATTGCTGACCAAATACTGATTAAATGGATTGATTTGGATTATTAAGTTACAGCGAAGCCAGTCTATCTTCCTAAAAGGAGGAACGCCTTTGTGAAGAACTTTCTAAGTGAAACCAGCTCATATACATGTTACACATGAGAAAAACCAGGAAAACGACTGCACAACCAGCCCATTCACTGGGATTTGAACCCCGGAGCAAACTACCAGTATTCAGCGACTTAACCGTTTGGCTGTTTGTGGGCCCTTTTGAAATGGAAGGTGATAAATTTATTTAAAATTATTATCAGAAATACCAAGATGTTTCAAAAAGTTGGATGCTTTTTAATATACTTGCAGAATGCCTGGAAAAATTGTGTAAAGCAATGGACACAATGATAAAACTGTTTAAAGCAATGTATGCAAGTCATCTTAAATTAAAATGTT